GCCGTCCACTGGAAAGTCATGGTCCCGGCGGGCCTGCGGAGGAAGGAGCGGCTCAGGCGGGCCCGGCAGACCCCGCGGCCCAGCAGCCCGGGCCCGCGGGCTTAGGAAGGGAAGTATTTCTAAGTTACTTCAGCGCGGCGCAGGCGTCCCTCTGTACCGACTTACCCTTCCGAGCCACAGCCCGCCCGCCGGCAGAGGGAGGTGGGGACCGGCCCCCCTCACCGCAGCCCCCCGTGAGGAGACCGCAGCCCCGCGCCTGCCGCAGGCCGGCGGCTCCCTCCCGCCGCCCCGGCTCCCGCCCCTAAGCGCTGCCTGCAAGACCCCGCTTCCCCCGCACAGTCGGAGCGGCCCAGGCCGTCCCGAACCCGTCCCGTCCCCCCTCCACGGTAGCCCGGCCTTCGTAACCTCCTCGGCGCCGGCGCCTGGCTGAGCCTGATGGCGGCGAGCCGCTCTCGAAGGGGCGGGGAGCTGGGCCTCGCGGGACGGGGCTGTGAGGGAGAAAACGATCCGCTCCTTCCCGCCGGCGCTGAGGGGCGGACGGGGCGGGCAGGCCGCCACCCCGCTGGCGGAGGGCAGGGCCGGGAGCGGGGCTGAGTGACTCGACGGCGGCGGGGGCAGGGCGGGGAGCCGCGGCCCGGGGGCGGCGCGGAGGCGGCCGCCGTCCCAGGCGGGGAAAGGTGCCGGCAGCACCGAGGGGAGGGTCCCCTCAGGTCCCACCCCGCGGGGCTGGAGGCTCCCCGCCGTCCTCCACCCTTCCCGGGGGCCGTCCTTGGCGACACCCCCCCGGCTTGTAGGGGGTGAGAGGGACGTGAAGTGAGGGGCTTGTGAGGGGGCACCTGGAAAGCCCAGCCTGAGGGTAAGGCATGAATTTATTGAGAAACCACACCGCTGTTGGAAAATGCAGGGATCTACACGTTGAGAAAAGTTAAAAGTAGTTATCTTTTTTCACAGTTAGGCAATGGTTGTAAGAATTTTTGCTGCAGGATCTCGCTGCGATCGTCCCACTGCTCCATGGCTCAAGCTTACTCCATCGGGGACTTCAGCTCTGCTCTCTAGCGCGCCGATTAGTTTCTGAAGTTCAATTAAAATACTCTGTGTCGTGTGCCCCCCCCATGCATTACACTACTGTAATGTATTAAGATGCTCTTCATCTGTTTTCTTAAGGAAAATAGGCTCAGTATTCATAAAGACAGCACAAATAACAACCAAACAACAGTCTCAAATGTTGTCAAACAGGCCTGTTTGAACCTCATGAATAAAACAATATTCCTTCAGAAAATCCTGTTCTGTCCTGCTGCCCTGTAGAGTGCTTTTTATCAGCATAGTGAGGCTCTCAGCACATTATTTCCATACCTTGGTACCCATTTTCTTATTTCTTGGCCATCTGTTTTGCCACCCTCCTCTGGCCCTGCATAACCCTCCCTTAATCGCTTTTCCCTGTTGTTCCTCGTTTTGCTGTATCTGTACCCACATCCAGTATTTCTGATACCGTTACTTGGGCAGTCTCGGCCTCATGTGGTGTTGCTGAGGTACTGATATGGTTATCGGGCACTCTTGGCCCTGCAAGTTTCTACTTCCAAAAGGACCTTCAAAACTACTCTCCCATTACTTGTGTAGTGCAGGTTTTTTTTCACACAACCCCTGGTTAATGGCTGGTGAAATCCAGCCAATTTAACGGTTTTAAATGGGAAGAAAAAAGATTCAGATTAGGTATCAGGAAGAAATTTTTTACTATGAGGGTGGTGAGACACTGGAACAGGTTGCCCAGGGAAGCTGTGGATGCCCCATCCCTGGAAGTGTTCAAGGCCAGGCTGGATGGGGCTTTGAGCAACCTGCTCTAGTGGGAGGTGTCCCTGCCCAGGGCAGGGGGGTTGGAACTCGATGATCTTTGAGGTCCCTTCCAACCCAAACCATTCTATGATCTCTCTCAGCGCTACCTGCAGCTTTTGCCAGCTTCTCACACTGTTGCATGTCACATCCAGCCATTTCACAGGTGGTATCCGGGTAATTTCCACACCCTGTGGATCAGATGGCTCAGGCCAGGGTCCCCTCGCCTGCACCCCTAATAGACCCTGAGGTGCTGCTGGTGGAAGAGGTTACCTTGTCTAGCTGGGCAGCACCAGCCCTCTTGACACAGCTACCTGCTTTTAGGAATTCTGTCCCAATTAATTTCCATCAAAATGAGTCAGATTAAATGCTGTGAATAGTAGTTCTTTGTTGCTCTAATCCATTGAAACTGAAATGGGGTAGGAAAATCTTGCATAAGGGGTTTTGAGCAGAGTTGTTTGCAGCTGCTCACAGTCTGAAATTGTTTACCCTTAACATTTCCCAGGTCTGTGGCCCGGGGATGGAGCCAGGGTGTCAACATTTTCCCAGCTGCTGCCAAGCCATGTCTGGATGAAAGGTTACATCCCAAATAATTGTTTATGCATAACAAATACTGCAGAGTGATACAACCAGCCGCTTCAATCCAATCCACACAGTGGGAACAGCCTGGGTTTCAAGAATTATTTCTAACATGTTTTCACCAACATACTTAATCAGAAGCATAAACAAAACATAACCCCTTAGTATGTCCTGGTTATTACATTTTAGCTATTGGCCTACAGCCATTATACTTTATTGAAACTGATGAAATGTTATTAAAGACTTTGTCTCCTTTAATTCCAGGGCATTTTCCATTTCTGAGCTGCTCACTCATCTCTTACTCGCACTGCAGGCTGCCCTCCCAGTAGCCTCATACTGATGGGACTGTATTTGCACATCCCTGCTGCCAGAGACTCCAAGTCTGCTATTTCACTTCAAGGGCTTCGTAAGATCTCAGCCAGACTCACTCTGCAGCAACTGCTGTGCACTTCCACTGCAGCTGCTGCATGTTCCCCACCAACCTGGAACACGATCCCAGGGACAGAGAGAAGCCCCCTGGAAACATCTGCCAGACCTCCCTTCTGCTGCTGGCTGCACTCTGCCTCTCCTGGAAGGTATTCTAGCTGAAGTGGTAGAAGTCTGGCTTGTTGATCAAAGGCTGCTTTTCTAGAAGTGAACCACAGCATGATAAATATGATGCCATACAATAACTATAAATAAATGGCTGCCTGCTTCAGGAAAAAAAATTTACAAAGCTTAAAACATTACAGCTAAAAGAAATACCTTCCTCTCCCACCAGTAAGGTGACAAAGCATTCAGAAGAAGAACTGTGAAATTCCTCTGTATTAGAAGCTGGATAGAAGACAGAAGTCCGACTAATTCTCTGCTGAAAGAAAGGCAAAGAGAAAAGTTCAAACCTGTTCCATTCTTATGTGGCTTGTATGACAGCTATCTCATCATCACACACTGCACTTGCCCAACCATCAACCCAAGACAAAGAAAAGACCTAAGGAACAACTTAGTTGTAGGGAACCGAGACAATGGGAGTGTGTGTGAGGGAGCTGGGGTTACTGCAGCAGGGTGAAAGATGCAAAAAGGTACAGGTATTACGAGAATATGTCATTGTTTTGTGGGCTGGCCCAACATAAAGAGCTGGGTCGGTTACAGAAGGCAAAGAACCTAAAAGAGGAAACGGAGCTTTGTGTCTTACCTTACTTGCAGAATAACTTTTAAAAATTTGAAAATTACAAAGACTGAGTACTCTGGGATGTTACAAGTAACACATACAGGGAAGGAACCTATGTGGTGGCTTTAAACTGGAGATGAGGATTTTCCCATATTCAAATGGCTTATAATGAAAAACACAACCATATTCTAAAACACTGGAAGTTAAATAACTAACTCCAACTTTAGTAATTTATGTATATTTGAACAGTAAGTATGGCTGTTCAGCATTTATGTCAACACAGTGAAGTTTGTTCAGATGCATACAGAATTCACAAGGGGAAAAGGTGTACAATTCATTTCACCCTCAAAAAAGGATGATAAACTTTCATTGACTTTTATGACGCATAATTGGCCACATCAAGCACTCCTTAATTACTCCCGATATTAACAGCAGCCTAGCAACCTAGGTCTTCTACTTCAGGCAGAAATCTCTATGATTAATCTCACACAGGCACAACAACTGCTGCCTTCAAAATCTAAATAGGTCAAGGAATTTCAAGTCCTCTAAAATTCAATTTCCCCACTATTACAAAAAAAAAAAAGCCTTGCATTTGTTTTACTTGATTATAATAAATTCCTTTTTCTTTGCTCCTTGTGGTTAATGGGACAGTTCACAGCAAATAGTAGTTGCTTGTCAAATCATAAAAATCTTAAGAAAATGCTAACACATGGCTTGGTTAATACTTTCAAGAATCCTTTTCTTCTACAATGCAGTTGTATAGTTTTACTTTTCAATTTTGATGCAGAAGGCTGGAGGTGTTTTCAGAACTGAGGAGAATTGAGTATTGCACTGTAGCTGGATGAACTTAAGACTGGAAATTCAGCTGTACAAAATAACAACGTGATGCAGTTGGGAAATAAGAACTTTTCCTGTAAAACTGGGAGGTCACAAATTACACGATGAATATTAGTTCAGGAAAAGTAAAATATTGGAAAGAGGAGTATTAACTGCAGAAGATATTCCTAGGGTTTTACCTGGAATGCTATACACACTTGTGCTCATCCAATGTCAAGAAAAAATTACAATCCAGAAGAGTGAAAAAAACCCAGTTGTCTGAAGGAGCAGAGAACCTATTGCACCAAAAAAGGTTGTAGAGATGGTCTCAATTAGCCTAGGATAGCAAAGCACGTCTGTCGTTTTCCATTTAACACATCAGGTAGGTGACCATATCAGAAGAGTTATGTAGACTTGCTTTCTTAAATAATGAACTAGACTTGGTGGTCATGTCTTTTGAACTTTGGTTCATATGCCTAAATTGGAACACATTCACTATGAAAAATTATCAAGTCTTTTATGCTATTGCATTAAAATAACTGTGAGCATTTAGATATCTAAATGATTGAAAGCAACCTCCCCTCCTCCAAGTTGTCATAGTCTGTAGTCTAATAAAAAAATTACAATTGTATACAAAACCAAGTAATTTATTTAGAAAATGTAGAACTATTCACTTGTATATTTACAGAAGTATCAGAGTCAGAAAACTAAACAATTTCTGGTAAGAATTTCTGTGTAAACATCTAAAGAAAACAAATTATTTGATTACAATTAATTGTACTGCACAGATTTGTGAAATTTCCCTTGCAGAACAAATGCAGCTGGTGAGTAACGTTATTATGTTATTCTAATTTTCACTATTTCCCTCCTATACAAAGATTCAAAGCCAAGTGGCTGTCATGCTTTGATAAGCAACATGCCAGCAGGCAGAAAGGATTGCAAGAGCCCCACTGAGAGAATCTGTCAGCTTTTCTTTGACCTATAAAGTTCTGTTTTGGTAGATGACAGGGATTTAATCTTTTATATAATTATTATACAGTAGATAAATTAAACTGAATTCAGTTAGATTGAACTTTCAAGTCTTGCATTTTAGATTCAGCTCTTTGTACTTAGTTTAAATTATTTCTTCGTTTTACTCTTTTCCTCCTTTCTGTTGTTTGACTACTCCAGGTTTCTTTTACTATATAAAGCATGGAATTTTTCTGAGTTATAAGTAAGCTTAGAAAGTTTTAGTCTGCAAAAGGAGCATCTAATTTAAAAGAGAATACTATGCTGGGTTTCAAGGCCTCACAGTCTTTAAGCTTGAAAAATCTACTAAAATTTAAAAGTACAGCTTATGTCAGTTAAAGCAAAAGCTTCTATAATTGTTCCCTATATATTATTTTGGTCTGAAATTCTTGGTATATTTATGAGTAGTCTTTCTGATTTTAGGAGGTTTCACATAAGGCCTTAGTTTTGCAATCATATTGCTGTAAGCAACTGTCTGGTGACAAAATAAATTACTGGAGTCTTACAATAATCAATCCTCTCTGTAGTAGTGCATTGTAAATAGAATTCCATATTTGTGGAATCTGGAATATTTTCTGGAATGAAAAATGCTGACATAAAAATACTAAAAATATAAAATATCACCATGATCATAATGTTATGCTGTGTTGAAAATACCTGTGCAATATGTGAATGCAACTAATAGATAGGAACTCAATTAAAACTTGTATTGGCAATTGCAAAACAGAAGTTTACATAGGAATAAAATACTTTCAGTTATCACACACCATAATAATTATTCAGATAATCTAGTACTGCTGAGGTACTTGATAAAACATTAAAAACTTTTTTTTCTTGTTTTGAAGTTATGCGTTCCATCATGTACATTAAGTGATGGTGAAAACACGTAAAAGGAGTTCCATGCTCAAGAGCAATCTCAACCCAGTCCTGGATGCACTTCAAAGGCGTCTCTTCGTATCCTGCAAACATAGCTGGATTTGCTAAGAGTCCTCTAGCCACCATTACACCTTCAAATTGGAAATGAAAGCAGTAAGTTACATTATAATTTAAATTTTACATTAAATCTTCCCATAGATTTTGTATAGTGCCTCTTAGGACAACCACCCAAAGCTAACAGACAAGTAATGGGAGAACAACAGGGACAAGTGTTATAGCTATACCAGAGAACTCCATTTAACAATCCAAACCTCAGAGTACCTACACCACCTGTCCACACATTCCACTTGATGACACATCCTTTCAGAAATTTTGAAACCAAACACAGGACACAGAAGCCTCTCTTCCCTACTTATATAACTGCAATTCAATAGCATTTTATTTGCTACACACACACAAGCCTGCCTTTTTAATGCAAAATTACAATTGAAAGATACAAGGGTACTAATATGATAAATTTAGTTATTTTTAGTGCAACTCAGCTGATTCACTGACCTAGAATCCTTCTTCCAGTAAGAGCTCAATGTCTCAATCATATAAATCTCAGGGCTCTTGGTCTGCAGTGCATTTGCAACTCTACCCTCAAATTGTCAGATAAACCCATACGAGTTCTATTGTAATTTTTCTGCAAGTAAGGGATTCTGTTTTCCTGCACTGTCAACATATAATTTATCATTGAGTCTCTTCTTAAAAAACAGGACGATCAAAAATGAAAAATTTCTTTTGCTACTGTGCATGACAGAAAAAGATGCTTTATATTTTTGTACTTTTGGTCATATTTTTGTACATAGGTGGTCAGCTGGGCTGTGAGAACATTCTTATCTGTTATATATTTCCTTCCTGCTTTGTATGTGTGGGGAAGGCACGATAGCAGCATGGCAGTTTGGTTCAACTAGTTTTTGTTGTTGCTATTAAATACCAATACTGTCAAAAGAAACCTCCCACATGAACTTCTCCTTGTGACTCCAACTACTGTTCTCTGTCCTGTTAGTCTCTAGCTGTAAGATCCAAAGTGTCTAGGTACAGATCACTCTTCAAACCATATTCTGAATTTCCATACTGTCTTGAAACCAGACAGCTGCAGGAATCTGTTGTGACTAAATAACTGCAGGGCAATCCTTTACCTCAAAATTTTACCACTGAAGCATAAGACAAGGTAAATACAGATCTGAGAGTGCCTCACTGTGTCCTTGAAGCTAATCATCGTAATGGTTAAGTATCTGCCTTAACAATATTTCCTTTTTCTGCCATATTCTTACTGTAAGAAATCTGCTCCTGTGTGCAGGAAGCAGAGATTTCCAAGTGGCAGGTTATAGTTCTTTAAAAGAAGATCAGCATCACAAAAACTGAACACTGCTGAGTGAATAGATAGCATAATTAAGCAAAGAGCTTTTGTAGTTTGCCTTGGAAATCATTATTTGTGGCTTTGAGTAACAGTGCTCTGGTGCTCTGATTATTACAAATGATTCTGTTTATGAGTTTATAAGGCATCTAAAAATCCTCTTTGTCTCCTCAAAGAGTAAAAGGCACTCAAATCATGTCCTACTTACAGCCAAAATAAATACTTTGAAATCTGATTTGTACGTTTACTTAGAAAATAGAGTATGTTTAATCTTACCATCTGCTCCTGTCCAATGATGAACATTTTCAGCATCTTTTAAAGTTTTAATGTCTCCATTAGCCACAATAGGTATAGACATGCTTTGTTTAATTATTTTAATTGCATCATAATGTACAGGTTGATGTCTTTCTTCTACACTTCTCCCATGTACTGTAATCCATGAAACTCCAGTTGCTTCAGCTTTTTGGCACAGGTCAACTGTTCTTTTTAAGTCCTCATGGATCCTAAAATTCCAAGGAATGAAAACCTTAGAAAGTAAGTTACCTGAACTGTATAAAAAGCCCACCTCCCTAAGGAGGAGTTACCACAGATTTGTCTAACAATATAAATAAAGAAAATATTAGTTTCCATTTCCTGAAGGATCACAAACTGAGTTGAAACTTAACTGAAAAATATGTGGATGAAGTGGTACAGAGCAATGCAAAACAAGAGTTTACAGAAGTTTAGAAAGCGATGAAGGGAAGCAGGATGTGTTCTTTAGAGCAGTTGTGGGGGCCAGTTCCCAGCTTTACCACCCTTCCCCCAATAGCAAATATGGCTCTGGCCTCCAACAGCTCACAAAGAAAACCTGGTGATGATACAGACTACGCATTGCTTTTCTTTTATGGAACCCTGGACCTTTTAACTTGTACTTTCATGTTGTTTGTATTGGAAGAGAACTCCAGCATCCAGCATGTTATCCGGGTAAGTAGTCAAAGGCTGTGCTGGTTCTACTATCTAAGTTTGGGATTACTTGCCCCAGATAGTCTTTCACCATCTGAGGTCAAAAAATCTCAGCAGTCTTCACATGTAGGGAAATTAATAAAATGTGTAATATTACATAAACAGAATTACTTATATTAAAAGTATAGTGTAACTATTGCACTAACATGTTTTTCTTTAAAAATTAAAACGATTCTTCCAAGTACCACAAACAGAATTTAAGTTAGGCCTACCTTATTTTAATAGATACTGAAAATCTAGGGTTGTCAATCTGATTCCGTACATGTCTCACCATATCTCGAACGAGTTCTGGTTTATTTATTAAGCAAGCACCATAACCTTCTGCCATCGCCCATCTTTAAAAGAAAAAGAAAGTTTGTATTCTACATGTGAAAAAATGCAGATCAATTTCAATCAAATACATCAGTTTCTTTCCTTATGACCTTCAGAATGTGTGGTTGAGTAAACAGAGAGTATTGGCTGTAGATCAATGACTCATTTGCAGTTTGACACAAGCTTTAGATCCTGGTTTAGTCTCCATTGTGCTGTGAGAACTTTGGACAAGTCACTAATCTCTTCAGTTTTCTGTCCACAAAATGGACTCACAAGGAGGATAAATTAAGACTTAATCAATGATGGTTTTGATCATACATGAAATAAGGAGTTTGATGTTTTCCCTTCTATTGGATCATGGGTTTCTTCAAAACAGAAAATGACTTTGGATTGAAAAGGAAGAGGTGCAAGTGAGGATAGGATTTCAGTAACATTGTCTTCCCTCAGCTGCAAAACACTTCATTTTTATTGGCAGGAAATAACCTTTGCTTCCACTTAGCAGCAGCGGTTTGTTTCTTGAACAATTTTTCTTATAAAGGCAGATTAAATGCACAAAGTTTGGTTATTTTGAAACCAGTCTGCACGAGTATCAAAGGTTTCAAACGAAGCATTTATTTTTGGCCTAAAAGGAACTTACAGTTTGGCATACCTAACTGTAGTTAGCTTAGAAAAAAAATACACATCAATTCTGAAGTCTCAGGTCTCTCCAGAAAAGTTTTCTCAAATACTATAATTTTAAGTGAAGACAACCTAATTAGAATAGACAAATTAAGTATTTGCACTGTAGTATTATATTTTGCTTTCCTACATTTATTTTGAGATCTTCACTTAGAAAAAGACTGTCTGACAAGCATGTAATAAATGGTTCTCAAATGAACCAGTTAGCAAGAATCTTCATTTGGCATTACACTGTCAAGACAAAATCTTCATCAATTTAAGTGAGAAGTAGATCACTAATTCACTGTACTTATAAACCTAATAAAAGATGGAATAATTCTTTTCAGCACTTCCTGAATAATATGATCTGTATAATTATATTTTAGAGACTATCCTTCACTTGCATAAGTCTGAGACATGAGGGACTTGCCTCATTATTTTGGGAATTGCCACATCATTTCTCATAGCACTCTCCAAATTATTCGCAGCAAGCTCTTTTTGGTAATGCATATTTAACAGCTGTTGATAAGGGATGGACACTTCACTTGTGAGCCAGCACTCAATATCTCAGAAATGAAAAAAGGCAAGTTGGCAAATACACCTAGTTTTCCCTATTTCACCATTGTGATGGGCATCTCAGAACATTCAGAACAGAGTCTTGCCACACAGACATTTCTGACAGGGTAAAAAGTTATTTCTCTCTTGAAGTCTATTTTTAAACTAAGAAATTACTTAGTAATTAAGACATTAATTAAGAATTACTGCCTAAGTAATTACTGTCTTAGTAAAAACGAAAACGAAGACCAGCATTCTTTACTCTCAAATTATTTCATCATATTAACCCAGCTTTTTCAAAACTTTACCTTTGAGGACAGCCACAGTTTAGGTCTATTCCATCTGCAAAAGGACAGACGATATGGGCAGCATCACACAAAATCTGTGCTTCTTTAGCAGCAAACTGAACAATCAATGGACGATCACCTACTCAATTAAAAGATATTTAGTGATTAAAAAAACAAACAAACAAACAAAAAAAGAAATTCTAAATTTTGAATGTTTTTCATATATTGAAAAGCTGTCTGGCCATGGTTCTGGGCAACTGGCTCTAAGTGACCCCGCTTGAGCAGGGGGGCTTGATAACATGACCTACTGAGGTCCTTCCAAACTCAACTGTTTTGTGATTCTGCAAGCCCTAGATCACAAGTAAAGGTAGCTGACCAGTGGTTACTAAATGAGTATGTCTATCAAGAGAGGTAGGAATTAGACAAACATATGTGTCCTAGATGGTTGCTGGTTCAACATGTATTTTTGCTGACTGAAATTGGTCAGATGCTTATCTTTCACAAAGATGATACATGAAACTAAGTATTATCTATTTTTCAGCAGCCTTCATGCTTCCCCTCCTAGCCTGCCCCTTCTTGCCTGCATGCTGCCCCTTTGCTGTACTGACATGGCCGTCTGTCTTGCCAGAGGGGAAACTTGCTTACAGAACCAACCCTTCAGAAAGCCTTGTCCTTCCTTATCCCAGCCCATCTTTTTCCTCTTCTGTGCCAACATGGCTGGTTTTTATCCACAGTGCAATATGCAGAGTTGGAATGAGAACACACGGACAGAAGCAGCTTTAGCAGCTTTGCTTCAAGTGGGAAACCAAAGTGTCAGTGCTCCTCAACTTGGGTCTGCTGAACTTCTTGTGATTTACTAAGCCCCTGCAGAGAGCCAGATGGTCATTTGGAACACGCTCTCCCCTTTTACAGTTACTGCATTACATTCAAGATCTCTAAAAATAACTCAAACAGTCTTAGCACTCACTTATCATATAAACAATCACCGTGGTTAAGAGGAAAGGGGATATCTGACTGCTGATAGAAAGAGAAGATCCAATAAATGCACAAAGCAAGTGCACTTATGGTACTGAAAAGACCACAAGTGCTTCTGAAGACTTTTCTATTTTAGCGGAAAATAAGTAGCTCTTGAAGTAGCGGAGCTTAAGTCAGAAAGGGCAGCAGTACCCTCTCAATCAAGCTGAGACACTGCTAGAAGGTACCTAAAAATCTAGCAAACAAAAAAAAATCCTTTGCATATTTTCCAAACAATGTCCATTTAAGACAGTGCTCTAGCTGAAAAGATTTACATTGTTACAGCTAATATTTTGGAATAATTCCCCACTCCTAGTTTTTTTGTTGGGCATTAATAAAAATACTGTCTAGACATATTAAATTTTCCAGCAGCCACAAAGAACATCTACCTCTATTTGAGAAATACACAACAAAGAAATATCAATGCTGAAGAAAACGGAAAACAGAAATTGCAACTGTAGGCTCCAAACCTACTCTGCTAATTGGAAGATAAAATCTCCAAACAGCCAGGAAGTTAAACATAAAACCACAGTAAAATTTCACAACCTGTTGTGGAGTTACTTGTTAAAAGCATAAATGCTAATAATGTAAATACTATAATCTTGGAAAAGCTGCCTGAGGCAGAATGTTTTAGAGGCCTATCAAATTAAGGCCAGGAAGAAAAAGGTGAATAGGGAAAATATATTGTTTACAACACTACAGCATTTCATTTTGTATCCCTTGTTATCAGGCAGCAAAGTTACAGCATAAAGGAGAAGTTCCTCTTTCCCTGTCCCTGCACCCCTGAGCGTACGTATATCTGACCTGTGGAACTTCAATGCTGAAGAGGTTGTGTAGATCAGAACTCTAAGTAAATTCAAAGGGGGCAAACTAATGGTGGAGCAAAGAATTGTTCATGCTTTTTTAAAATTCAACTCCAGTAGTAAGAGAGTCTATCTGTACATGGGAAACTAACGGAAGATTGGCGAGGAGGATTGTAAACTCGCTCCAGTGACTTGCACACAGGGTGCTGGAAAACAGTTCTATCACACTAATTATTGTTTAGTCTTATGTGCTCAACAAGTAGAACATCCACACTTAGATAACGTAGGCCTGTGATGGACTCAGGGCCACCTTATCAAACATGCTGGAGATTCCTGCCCTGCTGTTCAATATCAAAGCACAGTGAAAAACTATGCCTGCCTCAACCCCTGAAATACAGGCAGAACAGCAAGTCTGAGCTCTCACTTTCTCACTAATAAGGACTCTCTCACTCCGCAGTGCCTGTGTCCCCTGCTCACGTGCCTCTGCTCATGTGCTGCTTCAGAGGTATCAATATTAAATTTGTTCTTTTCCTATCATCTGTGGTTTTGTGGTTGTTCCTGTGTCCTGCCTGTGTCGGCTCACACAGTTGACTTTTCTTTGCAACTGCTCTATTTGAAAAATGCACCATAGTAAACAGCCAGTGCTAAAATAACGAAAATACTTCCCCTGTTATCACATATACATTAATGAAACCACCAGTTCACTGATCTGAATAGATTAAAACATCACACTTCATAGATCCCACATGCCAATCTTACTGGCACATTAGCAGCATTTTCATTCCTCCAGTTGCAGCCTATGCTTGTACGTTCCTTGTCACACTCACTTCATGCCAGCAGATCTGTATCATCGTCACCTCTTCCCACATATTTTGTACTGCTTTTCTCCTTTGCTTTACAGTCAGGACTCTGTACAACTCCTTGTATTCCTCCTTTTTGTATGTGTTCTGGGTAAGCTTCTATACCATGCCTGAAGCCTTGCTTCTCCTTATCAGCCCCAGCCATGGTTCAACTTCCTGCTCTCTTCTCGCTCCTTTTTATCACCCTTTCAATGTCTCACAGAGTCCACCAACAGTCCCTTCCACTTTCCACTCCAGCTAATTTGAAACCCTGCTTCTATCATAAGTCCTTGATTCCACTATATCAATGTTTGGTCTATTAAATTCTTCGCCTTTAGCAACTCTTTATTTTTGCTAGAGACCAGAAAACTTTTCCCAGCAAGGAGTTAAGTGTTCATTTCTGAAACACACAAGAAACAGCAATTCCTGGGAAAAGAATCTTGCTACCATCTTGTACTAGGTCTAGCTAAGATGAATTTAATTTAAAAATTTATTTTAAGTTCATTTATAGCAGCCTGAATGGTGCTGTTTTGGATTTTGTGACAAAAACACTGTTGATAATGCACCAGTGTTTTGGCTATTGCAGCCCATACTCGCACAGTGTCAAAACATCCCGTTTTTCTCACTCTGCCTCCTCTTGCCCCCAAAATAGATTGGGGTGAGGCAAGAAATTAGGAGTGGACACAGCTGGGACAGCTGACCCAAACTAGCCCAAGGAATGTTCCACACTGTGTAAGGTCAAGCTCAGGAATAAAACTGGAGCGGTAGGGGAAGAAGAAAGTGTGTTGGGACATGGAAATTGTGTTCCATGGTGGCCATTGCTCGGAGACTGGCTGAGCATTGGTCTGTTGGTGTGAGAAGGGAAGTGACTGCCTTTGCATCACTTGTTTTTTTCTCCTTTTTTCCTTCACTTATTATGCTGTCATCTTGACTCACGAGTTTTTATTGCTTTTGATCTTCCCGTTCTCTCCCTGTGCAGCTGTGGGGATGGAGGAGGATTGAGTGAGCAGCTGTGTCGGCACGTAGCCACTGGCCAGCTATGTGTAGTCAACCCACCACATATTTAATCAGCCTGGAGGCCCTGATTTCTGGTAGGGACAAGGTTTTCCACTATTTCATTTGACACACTATCACTGGAATGTGCTTACTCTCACCTAGATTACTATGGTTCATCAATCAATCAATCAATCAGATATGGTATACCAAAATTACTAATGGATGTCAAGTTGTGTGACAGACTTCATTTACTTGGCCAGTTTGGTTTATCACCACATAAAACATTCCAACAAGGTAATGGTTTCTTGAAAAAAAATACCTTTGTTTGTTGTGAATTCGCTGTCTCTAGCTTTTGCAGATCTCACAAAATCAGCTGCCACTATCATTGGTGTGTAACACAAATCGCAACCGTATTTCCTAACCAAGGTTCTGAAAGCCAACCTGCAGACACATGAAAATTAAGAGATAAGTAGTAAAGACATTTTTCTGATTAGCTATTCTAAAATGCTGTTCTGACATACAGTACTGTGAGGATGTACAAGTTTAATCATAAGATAAAACATGTCCCACGTCTATCGCCATCTTAAATAGTTACAGGAGCAAAAAAAAAAATCACCCCTATTCTTACAGTCAGGATAAACGTCCTCAGAAAAAATACACTGAAAAAATAGTTGAGATGACAGTTACTTACTTTGAATAGCGGACCATAGGGGCACATATTTTTACAACTTGCCCAGAATGGAACAAATCCATGGGATCTTTTAGCTGGCATTGTTTAGTTTCTATGATGTCACCAATCATGTATAATTAACAATCCTTTCAGCATCTGGAAAAAACAAGTAGTGTTTAGAAGTCATTCAGCTATGTCTTATAAGCTATGCATCAATGAGTTAGAGCTTAAACTGGACTTGCCTTTTGGTAAAGCATCCTGCTAGAAGTCATAGACTCATGGAATGGTCTAAGTTGGAAGGGACCTTTCAGATCATCAAGTCCAACCATTCATCTAACCATCACTAAACTGTGTCCCTAAGTGTCATGTCTATCCATCTTATAAGTAACTCCAGGGATGGTGATTCCAGCACTCCCTGGGCTGCCTCTTCCAGCGTTTGATAACCCTTTCGACGAAGAAGTTTTTCCTAATATCCCACCCAAACCTCCCCGGCGTGACTCAAGGCCATTTCCTCTTGTCCTGTGGCCTGTCACTCGGGAGAAGAGACCTGCCCCCGCCTCTCCACAACCACCCCGCACTCGCACAGTGTCAGGAACAAGCCTTTTGCCACCACCAGCTGCGAGCGCCCGTCGCCTCGGTGCAATGCGGAACACCGCCGTTGTGTTTCCACTCCTCAGGGCGCAGATGGCTCGGGCTGGAAGGCAGGCAGCCCTCGGCGCCGAGGCCGGACCCGGGGCTGAGGGCCCTGCCCCGCCCCGCAGGCCTCACGGAGGACGGATTTCCTCATGACCGCCGAGAGCCGCCCCTGCCCCAGCCTCGGCCCCGCCGTCCCTCGTCCCGCCGCCACAAGCCCACCTCCCTCCGCCTCACCGCGCCCCGACCGCCCTGCCCGGAGCCGCTTCCCGCCCGGCCCCGCGCTCACCACGTGCGCGAGCGCCCCGCCGCCGCCGCCGTTGCCGTTCCGTCGCGCGCCTTCGCCATC